ATATACTGCTTTCTCAATCTCACATTGTTTACTGTGTGTCTGCGTAATGCAAATATCAGGAACCAAATACGAGAGCAACAAAGGAGATAAGCAACTTCAGCAGAGACAGGTATCATCCATGTCTAGGGGAAAGGTATGCTTTGTGCCGCGATTATATGACGAGCAGATTTGATAGAAAAAATGAGAAGAAAAGAGAAAAATGTAGTCTTTTATAATCCAGTAGAAGTTGTTTGTTACATGTATTGGAGTACGTAGTTTTAAGGGTCAAGTTTGTGCATTTTAGGTATTAAGAAACCCCAAAGTTTGATACTTTTATATAATTGTTAAATCGCCGGAATTTCAGAATTTGTTGTGACAAATCATTGTAGCAAGGTGTACCTTCTGCATTCTGTATTTTGATTTATATGGTTTTTATTACAGAAGCAATTGAACAAACAAGATCAGAATGTACACTCTCAGTCGCGGAAAGTAATAGATGAGAGAATAAGACGGAAGAAAGATGTAAGACCTAATCGTGCAGTTCAACACGATCAGAATGCACATTCGAATTTACAGAAAGTTACAAAGAAGATAAATGAGATGAAGGATCAAGTGATTAGAGCTAAAGCATACTTGAGTTCTGCACCACCAAGCAGTAAGTCAAGTTTAGTGAAGGAGTTGAAACTGCAAATCAAAGAGGTGGAACGAGCAATTGGTGGAGCCACCAAGGATTCGGATCTATCAAAGAGGTATAACTATTCATCTCTTTTATTTTCCCCTTTTCCATTACTTTCCAAGTATGTTCCACCCCACAGAAGGGAAAGAAAAACAAAAGATGTTGAAACAAAAATTAATCTGAAAGACAAAAGAGTAGTATGTAATAGTTATGTTAGTAAACATTTTAGGCTGGGGAACACCATTTTGAGCTCTCACTTAGTCACAAAGCATTAAAATTCTCTAAAACAAATTAAATTGCAGTGCCTTACAGAGAATGAGAAAGATGGAGTCTTCACTATCTAAAGCCAGGCGTACATACCCAGACTGCTCTTCCATGTCCAAAAAGCTTCGTGCTATGACTCAGAATGCTGAAGAGCAAATTCAGTCGCAGAAGAAGCAAGTCTCTTTTCTTTTCAGCCTCGCTTCAAGCACAACCCCAAAAGGCCTTCATTGTCTTTCTATGCAGCTGACTGCTGAATACTTTGCTCTGGCTCCCAAGGACAGGCAGTTTCCTAACCAGCAAAAGTTGCATGATTCAAAGCTCTATCATTATGCTGTTTTCTCCGACAATGTTCTGGGATGTACAGTGGTTGTGAACTCCACTGTTTCCACTGCCTTGGTAATTTGAGTCAGCCTTTTCAGTATTCCGTTCTAAGTTTCTTATTTAATTTCCGAACCCCCATTTGATTTTTCTTTTGACTAAAGTGGAGAATCAAAATATTCACTCAGCTTAACCGAAAACCATGATAGTTAATCCAGGCCATAATTTTCATGTTCTCCTTCGAGGTTTCAGATGAAAACAGACACTATATCAGTATAGCATGGAAGCTTGTTGACTTGTTTTTTTACTTTTGGCATAATGATGTGCAGAAACCAGAGAAGATTGTTTTCCATGTTGTGACTGATGCACTCAATTTTCCAGCAATCTCAATGTGGTTCTTATTAAATCCTCCTGGAAAAGCCACAATCCAAGTCCAGAGCATTGATAGTTTTGAATGGTTGTCTACCAAGTACAATACAAGTTTAAGGCAAAACTCCAGTGACCCTAGATATTCTTCCGAACTCAACCACCTCCGTTTCTACCTGCCAGATATCTTCCCAGCATTGAATAAGATTGTGCTCTTTGACCATGATGTGGTGGTGCAAAAGGATCTAAGTAAGCTATGGAGTGTTGATATGAAAGGAAAAGTAAATGGAGCAGTTGAGACTTGTCGGGAGAGTGAAACTTCCTTCCTTCGGATGGATACATTCATCAACTTCTCAGATCCATTTGTGGCAAAAAGGTTTGATGCCAATGCATGCACATGGGCATTTGGGATGAATTTGTTTGACCTTCAAGAATGGAGGAGAAAAGATCTGACTACACTCTACGACAAGTACTTGAAATCGGTACAATGTGAACTTCTACTTTACAATTTTTGAAGTATTTTCTTTTTCGGGTTTTAACATTTGGGAATGTGATGGTCTGGTTCACGGCACAGTACATACATCTCCACTTGTGGATATTTGAACGTTGTTATGAAAACACAATCCAATGCTTGTTTTGCTGCGTTTTTGGTTGCAGGGTTACAAGAGGCCGTTGTGGGTGGCTGGGAGTTTGCCCTTAGGTTGGATCACCTTCTATAACCAGACGGTAGCTTTGGACAGGCGGTGGCACATCCTTGGGCTGGGTTATAACTCAGGTGTGGTTCGTGCTGACATTGATCGAGCGGCAGTAATACACTATGATGGAATCATGAAGCCATGGTTGGACATAGCGATTGCGAGGTACAAGGATTATTGGAGAAAATATGTCAACTATGACGACTCTTATCTGCAACGGTGCAACATTCATGCATAGGGTGGTTGAAAAGCACATGCACCAGATTAGTAGTTGCTTCTTGCTCGTGGACCTGCACTGCTTCACACAATTCTTTCTTCAACGATTCTTCGATGCAAAGTTCCGACCAATTTTTCCCAAATTTTTCCGGCCATAAATCTTCTAGTAGCCGAGTACAAAAGTGTAGAAATAATTGGAGTTAATAAGATCCCGGGGGGATTTTGTATTGCTGGTCCGTATTTTTTGTACATAACTTGTTTCGATCCGTTAGCTACACCGTTTCAAAACATCTTTCAATATAGACACATTCATTTTGTTATTTGCTATTACATTAGTTGTAAACTCATTATCTAAACCTATTGATTTTTCCGAGCGAAATTACTACTGAAAACCAAGTTAAGCTAGGTGAGTAACTTACATGATACAATTAAACCGCAACTTTTGCCTTTCGTATCAATAATTCAGTATCAGGTGTGTATTTTTCTCTACATCTTATTACGTCATTAGGAGATGAGGCTACAACATTGTATGAGTATCATAAAAGTTTTCTTCGATTTTACTATTTTTCCTAAAGAAAGGGCAATTTGGACTTTTGAGGGATTATGTGACACGTGGAGAAAAATGGTTGGGTGGTATCCGATAGGGGATATCTAATGAGGGGCTGCCAAATGCCAATCTATCCATCCTATGTGATGCGCGGGGCAGACTCTGGCCCAATCATATTAATCTGTGAATTGCACAACCCCTATGAAACTGCAACTTGTGTCATAGGCTCAGTTCCACTGCAGATTTCCCATAAGCTTGTTAGAGTTCTCCAAAGCTAAGGACAAATGGCAACCATTACTGCTAGCTCTGCAGCCTCGTCGGTCACTAGGGCAAGCCTTGTGCACAAGCCATCTGTTGGGGCTCCATCCTCAACTGTTTTGGGTAACACTCGCTTTCTTTGCTTCTTGATTACGAGAGAAACTTATTTACACCTCGGATATGCGTCTTTAGCGGTATTTCAACTCTGGTGTACAGTTGTACGTTTAAATTTTCTCATATAACAGTGCATGAACGGTTTAATTGTCGTTTTAAGAAAGTTTTTCTCTTTAATTGTGAGTGGTATGATATACCGTCACAGTGATATTTCCTTCTTACGAGACTTGTTGACATTTGATTTTACATTTCTTTTCTTCTTCTAATTGGTTTCTGAATATGATTTCAGCTTTGCCGTCACTTGCAAGAAAGGGAAGAGTGAGCTGCTCCATGGAAGGAAAGAAGGAGAGCAACTCAAACATGGCCAAGGGTGCATCTTTGGCGGCCGCAGCTATGGCGGCGACCATGTCAAGCCCGGCCATGGCTTTGGTGGACGATAGGCTGAGCACCGAGGGAACAGGGCTTCCATTCGGATTGAGCAACAACCTTCTTGGTTGGATCCTCTTTGGTGTGTTTGGTCTCATTTGGACCTTCTACTTTATCTATACTTCCTCCCTCGAAGAGGACGAAGAGTCAGGATTGTCCCTCTAAGCCAAACACCAGTGTTCCTCAAATGATGGAGGAATGTAAAAATTTCTAGTTCATGTTTTGTAGTAAAAGCTTCCCATTTCTGAATCAAACTTGTGTACTTGTGTTATCCACTATATTCTCAGTCTCAGTTTTTAAATATCAATGCCTGATTACTTGATGTTTTATTAAATCATGATAAACTGAAAGAATTGTTATTGACACTCCAAAAATCTTATTCTACAAACTTTTTATATTTAGAAAGAAAAATATACTTGTGAGGAATGTAGAATGAGATTTTTAGAGTGCCAATAACACTTTTCTAAACTGAAATCAAGTTTTCTACTTGTTTTCTTTTATATTTTAATTTGGAGAATAAGATTTATTTGATGACTTATTTGAAAGTGTTTTTAAAATAACTAAAAATAATTTCAAATAACCATTTATAAGTTTAGAGCATCTCTAAAGGAGATATCAAATATAATATGTCAAAACTTTATTTGATGACTAATGTGGCTAGTTGAATTGTCACGTCCAATCCCAAATTCAATCTTATTCTATTCCCTAACGAATGAAAATGCCCCTGACGGGCTAAGTGGAAATCATACATGGAATTCCTACGTGGACATTTGAGTCATTGTCACTCTTTGTCCATTTTCTCGTTTTTTTAGGTGGTATGTGTTTTTACGAATATGAGATGTAAATCAGACGATTTAAGCACATTTCCTAATGAGAGGCAAAATGGTAGTGGGTTGCTTATGGGTTGCAGACTGTAATGTTGATGACTTATTTGTTAGGTTTGTTAAGCAAGTAAGCAAGTAGACCTATCTCCGTAAGTATTTTATAATTAAGATTTGTGCCTAATTAATTATTAATTAGGCTTGATCCAAATACATATACACACATACTTTCGTAGTACTCGTCGTAGACGCAGATGAAACAAAAAGCAGAGCTATGGAACTACGAAGTTGGAGGGCATTTGAGCAATCTCACTATTTAGTTTTGTTGGGTTTATGTCATGCGGGACCCACCCGCGTGGGAGTCCTGCTTCCCCCGGTGCACTCCACACTGTAACACTGCCCACACTCAAAACTCTCTGTCACTCCATATCACTTTTCTCCCGAACTCCTCAAAACTCTTTCCCCCTCTCCCAACTCTCTCGTCTTCCCCGTTGCACACCCCAAAAATACAGACGGCGGTGGAGCCGCCGATCTCCAGCGATGGAACATCCTAAACCACCATTACGATACCCCTCTCCTCCCAACAAAACCACATACTTCCCCTGTTTCCTGAGAAATTGAAACCGCGAGCTCCGTCGCGACTCTAGTTTTCCCGGCGATAATATCTCCGTTTACGGCGAAGGTAAGGCTTCAAACTACCCTAAACTGCTTCCTTATGGTTTTCTGAGTTCGATTCCTCTGAGCTTCATTTCCGTATATGGATTGCTGAAAATGGTTATGTATTGAATGCTCTTACTTTTATCTTTTACTGCAATTTACTTATGCTAACGTGGAAGAAGACTCCGTTTGGTATAAAATGCTCTTACTTTATCTTTTATTGCAATTTACTTATACTCTGACATTACTTGTGTGATAAATGTTTCAACCCGCTCACATGCCTACTTCAGATTTAAATTATTTTGCACTTTTCACATTACCATCACTTTATGCCTTCGTCACCTTCCTCCATTTGTAGTCCAGCATAGCTCAATTCGGTTGTTTGAATATTTTGGGTCCGGGTGTGTCAAAAAAGACTGTTAGAAAGCAACCACATCATATATGGCATCTCCATTAGAGAACACCTGAATTTCTTTTAGTCCCATTGGACATATTTGATATTTTCTTTGGAGATGGTCTAAGTGCTTTTAGTGAAGCATTTGCATTTAAAATTATTTTTGTGCTTTTAATATAAGTGCTTTTGAAAGAAGCATTTTCAAACGAGCTTGCATTCTTTCATACCTTACAAGTTCTTACAAGTTACAACTAAAAAGGAATTGGGTGTGAAGAATATTATATGCATTTTCATGTGATTAAGCACCATTTTCATCATGTAATATTCAAGTCTTAAGCACCATGACCACTTCCACTTCCACTTCCACTTCCATTCATTCCCAAACCCTCGTATGACTTTCATTTTTTGCAACAACTATGGTTGTCCTCTGCTTGAACAAACACCAAGATTTCTCTTTGTGAGGATCCTAGGAATCAATTCATCTCAACCGTTTATCGTGCATTGTGCAGTCAGCTTTTGTTAAGGAATTAAAAATGCAAGCATGGTTTGGGGAGGGATTTCTTAAACATGTTGCATGCTCAATTAGAAAAATTCATCTAAATTGCAGTGGGCCAATCTGTAGTGTACACATTCTCTGAGCCCCAATTATTTTATCAAAGAGAAATGCTAAAAGCTGAGACTCTTCATGGACTCTCTGCCACTTCATGTTTATCGGCACAATGTTTTATAATATTGGCATAGGAATTGACGTTAAACTGTGAGGTAGCAGAGAGTCAGTAGAGAGCCCACTCTAAGAGAGTTCATGAGTCTCACTTCAAGAGAGTTCCCTTACTATTTTAAGATGCCAAATAAATTAATACAAATTCCAAATGTATTGTAAATGTAATGACAGTTTGGAGTCTTAAAGTTCCTTCCCTCTCAGTTAGAATTACAGTACTGAAGTCATCGACTCATCGGTATCAAAGCAACATTCTGGTATTCTTCAAATATTTCAATCAAACGGTACTACTTTAAATCAATTGTTCTCATCAAATTGTTCTTCATATTCTCTGCTTCTTTTAATCACATCTGCAGAGCGTCTAACATACTTCCGCAGCGTCATTCCCCAGCTTGCGACGATGGCAAACGGACTGTCGAGTTATGACATAGCCAAGGATATGAAGGATTTTGAGGAAACAAAAGCTGGAGTAAAAGGACTTGTGGACACAGGGCTGACCAAACTCCCCAGGATGTTCATCCAGCCAGCAGACAGACTTTCAGATTTGGCAATAAAAAATATAGAATTACGAGTTCCTGTCATAGATTTTGAGGGCTTTGATCAAGATTTCCGGCGTCCGCAGATTGTGAAGGAGGTTCGTAAAGCATGCGAAACGTGGGGGTTCTTTCAAATGGTTAACCATGGAGTTCCGGAGAAGGCGATGGATAAGGCGTTAGAAGGGTCTCGACGATTTCATGAGCAGCCGAAGGAGGACAGGATGGACTGGTATTCTCGTGACTATAATAAAAAAGTGGCATACTACAGCAGTGTAAAACCGTTGGCAACCAAAGCAGCAGTTTGGAGAGACTCGGTAGGGTTTGATTTCCTGGACGGTCCATTGGATCCTGAGAACATTCCATCGGTTTGCAGGTACATACTCCTCAAGCTGCTTGTACATATATGTTAAAGTCTAATCACATAACATACCGGATAATCTGACGAGAGATTGGTTTGATTCACAGAGAGGCGGTGCAGGAGTACACCAAACACATGAAGAACCTGGGAAATGTACTGTCCGGTTTGCTATCGGAGGCCTTGGGGCTTAGCGCTGCCTACCTGGAACGCAGAGAGTTCCTGAAGGCTGAAAGTCTGGTGCTCCATTACTCCCCGAGTTGTCCAGAACCCAAGCTGACCCTCAACACTTCCAGGCATACAGATCCTTCCTCGTTTACCGTAGTCTTACAAGACAAAACTGGCGGCCTGCAAGTCCTCCACGAAGGTCATTGGGTTGATGTTCCTCCAACTAAAGGAACTCTCGTGGCCAATGTTGGTGATCTTCTGCAAGTAAGTTCATCATCCTATTTCGTCGAACGAAAATAGATCTTTAATGTCATAGTTTCATACGTCCTCTCCATGTCTCTTTCATCACCAGTCTGATTCATGTAAAGAGAGGGCCAGAGAAACACATTATTCTTCATCATCCTAATTCCTTGAGAAGAAACTTTTCTGTCTCGATTTCATACATCCCCTCTCTGTCTCTCTTGTGTTCTTATTACCATTCTGACATAATGAGAGAGACATAACATGAACGTCAAAATCACGTGATGAGTGAGACACAAAACTACAAAAATCATCTTGCATGAGAACTCATTTATCTTCAATGTTGTGCGCAGTTTATCTCCAACGGCAAGTTCAAAAGCGTAGTGCATAGGGTACTGGCAGGAACAGCGGGGCCTAGAGTATCAGCTGTATGTTTTTTCTATCCAAGTGCAACCGAGAGAATCAAACCCATTGGACCAATCAAGGAGATTCTTTCTGGAGACCAGCCTATTTACAGGGAAGTAAGCGTTCGTTCGTATCTTGCTTACTACAGAGCAAATGGATTCGAGGGTAAATCAGTGGTTCCAGATTTCGAATTAGCCCCTACGGTTTAATCCTATGGTTTAGATTCGATTCACCTTAATCCCTATGGTTTGTAAACCACTTAAGGAAATGTGTATGTTTTGCAACCTTGGACAATTCCTTCCCAGCACATCAGACATGGTAACAAGAGAAGCTTTAAACATTTACCATTGCAGTAGTGCGAAAATGTGGCACCCGAACTCTCTTCGAGCCATAAACTGGACGCTTACATGGTAATGGGCTATCTGCAGCAGCATTGTTATCGAGAAGCTTTCCAGATCACAATGTTACGCGTATTTACAACCATCTGGCTCTGAATAGCCCCAATCAACAATTCTTGACAAGACATTCTCTAAATTGGGGCACATTTTTTGTCACTTCAGCGGTTAAAATTTTAAAGAATAATATGAGAAATGCTAAAGAGTCACTTTCAAATGAATCCTCAAAGGCGGTGGTGTAGGAAATCCTATTTTGAGAATTTGTAACGACCAATTGCATATTAGCCACAAAATTATATTCGTTTAGGTTGAATTGCATATAATCTTGTGACTAATATAGATTTGATCCTCACAACTCCTCAAAATAAGAACCTTAAGAGAACAGGACTGTAATATCATATGTGAACGGATACGCCATCGCGGCCCCACATCACAGCATCTCCACCATGTCCAGAGTCTCTACATCAACCTCCCCTCCTTTTGAGAAAGACTCCACAAAGTTGAAAGCAAAAATTTCATTTTGCACATACATTTGATATTTTGTAGTGCTATGATGTGTTTTGAAATTATTTGTGGATTTTTACGAATTCAATGTTAATATTTTGTAATTTCATATGATTGTTTTATTTGATTATATATTCAAGTAATATATATTGTTTTTAATGAATGCAAACGGATCGGCTCACGTAATACGTTTATTTTATTTGGGTTTGAATTTTTAAAATAACCCGACGATGTTGACGAGTAAAAATTTGACACGAAAATAACATTAACACGACTGCCCTATTTAAGCAGCAAAGCCACCAAAGTTCCAAAAGCTTGGGGCGCTTACGTTTTCATCATGGCCACCTCTCTATCCACCCCAAAGCTCACCACCACCATCTCCTCCTCCCCGGCACTCCACAATCTCCTCTTCTCCAAAAAACTCCCTTCCTTTCTCTCTCTTCCCAAAACCCTTACCTCTCTCTCCCACCTCCGCCGCACCTCTACCTCTCACCCCCACCACCACCTCAACTCCCGCCGCCACTTCTCCATTCGCGCCTCCGATTCGGGAAACGGCGCCGACTCCACTCGCCACTACGACTTTGACCTCTTCACTATTGGTGCCGGCAGTGGCGGCGTCCGCGCCTCCCGCTTTGCCGCCAATTTTGGAGCTTCAGTCGCCGTCTGCGAGCTCCCCTTCTCCACCATCTCTTCCGATACCACCGGCGGCGTCGGCGGCACGTAAGTCTTTAACTTTTGGAGCCCAATTGGGTGTTTGGGAATTGAATTATTCAGCTTTTCCAACAATTTTGGATTCTGGGTTCTGTGAAATGTTATTGCTTTTTCTTTTTTCATTTTTTTGCTGAGTTTTTTGTTTTTGGTTAATGAAGGTGTGTTCTTCGTGGATGTGTACCGAAAAAACTACTAGTTTACGCTTCGAAATTTGCTCATGAGTTTGAAGAGAGTAATGGGTTTGGATGGAGATATGAGACTGAGCCAAAGCATGATTGGAGCACATTGCTAGCTAACAAGAATGCTGAGTTACAGCGGCTCACCGGGATTTACAAAAACGTTCTTAAAAATGCAAATGTCACTTTGATCGAAGGCCGCGGAAAGGTGTGGCAGGGGAAAAACTCTTTCTCTGTAAAGTATGCAAAGCTATAGATATAGATATACTTGTAATGTTGTTCTTAATGTTGTGTTTTTTGTCACCAATGACACAGATAGTGGACCCACACACGGTTGATGTAGACGGGAAGCTATATTCTGCGAGACATATACTAGTTTCGGTTGGGGGTCGACCCTTCATTCCTGAAATTCCCGGAAGTGAATATGCAATAGATTCTGATGCTGCCCTTGATTTGCCTACCAAGCCTGAGAAAATAGCAATAGTTGGTGGTGGTTATATCGCGGTGGAGTTTGCTGGCATCTTCAATGGTTTGACGAGTGACGTTCATGTATTTATAAGGCAGAAGAAAGTTTTAAGGGGTTTTGATGAAGAGGTTAGGAACCATGCATATTGCTAGTATTGGTTTGGTTACACATTTTCGTGATTGAAGTCTCTTTCTGAAGGTGTAATATGTGTTTTTGTAACCATGCAGGTTAGAGATTTTGTTCAAGAGCAGATGGCTCTGCGAGGAATCGAGTTCCACACAGAGGAGTCCCCTCAGGCTATTGTAAAGGCAGCTGATGGTTCATTGTCCCTGAAGACCAACAAAGGAACAATTGAAGGGTTCTCACACATTATGTTTGCGACAGGACGTAGGCCTAATACAAAGGTTTGAACTTGGAAATATCTAGTTTATAGTTAAAGATTCACCATCAAGGCATAGGTGTAACAATCCACCAAATGAATGACGGTTGTCTAGAAATATTTGATTGGGACTTCATGCCTTGTTGTGGCACTCTGCAAATATAATACTGACAGTTCAATGATTAAGATGTATTGTTTATGGGTTAGTAATTCAAACTTGTGCTGCAATGCAGAATTTGGGATTGGAAGCCATAGGTGTAAAACTGTCCAAGAATGGGGCAATAGAGGTAATGTTCCTTGATATGTTTAAGCTTTGCTTTGTTTTCTGCTTTCTTTGTTAGATGCTTTCCTGGTAAAAGTGACCAAAAACTGGGCAAGAGATATAGAGTTATATTCTGAATATTTTTGAGTTGGTTTGCTTCTCAGGTTGATGAATTCTCCCGTACAGAAGTTCCTTCAATTTGGGCTATTGGAGATGTTACAGATAGAGTTAATCTGACTCCCATTGCTTTGATGGAGGGAGGGGCGATAGCAAAAACACTCTTTCTGAATGAACCAACAAAACCTGATTACAGGTATCCTGGCTACCTGATATTATAACTTTGGAGGTATTCCATAGAATCTATGCAAGTAGAGTAGCGAATGTGTGAATTGTGTATATTCTAATGATATTTTTCCGCTTCGAGTAGAGCTGTTCCTTCTGCTGTGTTTTCACAGCCACCAATTGGTCAAGTTGGTCTTTCCGAAGAACAGGTGAGGAAATTATCTTTGTATATCTGCAATTGTGCGAAATTGGCTTCTTGTCTTAAATTGCAGTTACTTTTGCAGGCTGTAGAACAGTATGGTGACGTTGATATCTACACTTCAAACTTCAGGCCCTTAAAAGCTACTGTCTCGGGGTTGCCAGATCGAACCTTCATGAAACTCATAGTCTGTGCAAAGACAAACAAAGTTCTGGGGTTACACATGTGTGGAGAAGATTCACCGGAAATTGTGCAGGTCAGTGCATTTCACTTTTATTTGTTTTTGTTTTTATTTTTTCCATATCAGGATTTTAGTTTCTGGCGCTCAGGTGGCAGTACATGTGCTAAATTACAGGGATTTGCAGTTGCTGTGAAAGCTGGCTTGACGAAGGCAGACTTAGATTCCACAATTGGAATTCACCCGACAGCCGCGGAAGAGTTTGTGACAATGAGGACTCCCACTCGGAAGATACGAAAAGACCTTCCATCTCAGGTCTGTAGTGGACATATAGGGAATTGCCTTAATTTTCATTTTATTATAGTTCTGGTTCTGTAACTTTCATGATGTATAACAAGATTTGTGACCTAAGTTGGTTAGAGATTCCCTGACATCTTTTACTGCTCAAGAAGTGCTGAAACTTTTCAATCTTTATTACTCTGAACTAGTATAGGGGTTGAAGTCAACCTTCTACATCTTTGCTACTTATAAACTCAGCGGTCTGTGTATTACTTATCATCGTTTTTTTACTGAACCTCTTCCAGGAGAAGACAGACTCCGATGTTAAAGCTGCCGCAAGTGTTTGATCAGGGTTGACCAATCTGCTGTACGAGATAGCTGAGAGTTATCAGTAAGATATTGTTAATGTAGAATATTATAGATTTAGCGACGTGTTCAGTTGTGGCAATTTCATATAACCAGGTTCATTGGTTTAGTTCCAAAGAACGATCCAAAACTTGGTAATTTACTTGACCTCTCTCAAAAGGAGTCGGTAACACTGGTTTCTTTTTCATTTTTGTTAAAAGCATGTTCAGTTGCAGAGTTAATGGTGATCTAGGTCATGATAATCAGAAAGAATAGGTACTTTAATATGCTTTGTATGACTGATTTGTGTATTAAACTACTGCGCAGGTTAGGTTGTGGCTCCAGAAATTTGTACTTGACAATCCTCTTGGAACAGTTGCTGGAAATCGGAACATCTAACTTGACAGCAGTTGAGGTTCCGGAGAGCGTAGTTGGTGCATGTTTCCTCTTGGGGCCAGCGACACGAACTTGAGCACAAGTACTTTATCAGGAGTTTTTTTTTCTTCTGTAAATTGGAAGCCGGTTTTCGCAATGAATCGAATTGTGGTACGAGCTATGATCTGGCTCCGCTTCAACTTATTTTTTACTTCGAATCGATAAATAAATGCCTATTTATTTCTTTTCATCATTCCTTTTCTTTGAACTTTTCTGTACAATATGTATGCACTATTGATAACTAAATGCATACTTTTGACTCCGATATCTCAATATCGTGACATAGGTGTGCACACCGCCCTCTGCTTTTGTCCGTAGATTTTATGTACTTTACTCGATCTAACGGTAAAAAATAAGCATGGGCCATGCATGTGGAGAAAAATGACGTGAAATCATTTCCCAAACAACTAAGATGAACATAAAGAAATGATCCAAAATTTTCAAATCTAAAGTTTGGGGCTATACATTCTTCAGAACAAAAATAAATCAAGGTGAAAAGCAGCTGCAGAAACATTTCTGAATTAAGAAAGGCATGAAAGCATTTATATTTCTAGACTAATTGCCACCCACGACTCCATTGATACAACAGATGATACAATCAGATCAGATAGTCGACGAACGGGCAAGTGAATCTTCTGAAACGAAGGAATCAAGATCATGGTGACCATAAACTGATCTTCTTACCATTCCTTGTATGAGTGATAGTAGTGATGCAACTTGTACAACACCACTTTTCCAGCAGCATTTCCCACAGCCATGAAACCTCAACCGGGACTGAAATCCAAACAGCAGTGATAATGTATGGACCATCTTAGCGGAGGCCAGTTGGAGAAAACAGTAAATGATGGAACATGTATCTGAGCATCGCCATTGAACTTGAGAAAGTCTACTTTCGTTGTAAGATTCTCGATGGTCTTAATGGGTTTTCTCTTGCCCCCTAAAAACTCCTCTCTCCACTGTGAATGTTGACAATCCCGCTGTCTGAACCACCACCGGCAAACAATG